GAGTTACACACAGAGAGAAGGAGAGGCAGAGAGAGACAGAAAGAGAGAGCAAGGTCTTCCATCCACTGGTTCACTCCCCAATTGGCTGCAACAGCTGGAGCTGCACTGATCCAAAGCCAGGAGCCAGGAGCTTCTTCCAGGTCTCCCACATAGGTGCAGGGGCCCAAGGACTTGGGCCGTCATCTACTGCTTTCCCAGGCCATTAGCAGGGAGCTGGATTGGAAGTGGAGTGGCTGGGACACGAACCAGTGCCCATATGGGATGTTGGCACTGCAGGCAGCAGCTTTACCCGCCACGCCACAGCACTGGCCCCCTACTCCACTTTCTTTCTTTCTTTTCTTTTCTTTCTTTTTTTTTTTTTTTTACAGGCAGAGTGGACAGTGAGAGAGAGAGAGACAGAGAGAAAGGTCTTCCTTTGCCGTTGGTTCACCCTCCAATGGCCACCACGGCTGGCGCGCTGTGGCTGGTGCACCGCGCTGATCCGATGGCAGGAGCCAGGTACTTATTCTGGTCTCCCATGGGGTGCAAGGCCCAAGCACTTGGGCCATCCTCCACTGCACTCCCTGGCCACAGCAGAGAGCTGGCTTGGAAGAGGGGCAACCGGGACAGAATCCGGCGCCCCGACCGGGACTAGAACCCGGTGTGCCGGCGCCGCTAGGTGGAGGATTAGCCTAGTGAGCCGCGGCGCCGGCCCCCTACTCCACTTTCAATCCAGATTCCTGCTGATGCATCCTGGAAAGCAACAGATGATGGCTCAAGTGTTCGACCCCTGCCACCCACATGTGAGACCCAGACCCAGCTGGAATTCCAGGCTCCTGGCTTTGGCCTGGCTCAGCCCTGGTTGTGGTGGGCGTTTGGGGAATGAACCAGCAGATGAGAGAAAGTCTCTTTCTCTCTCTCTCCCTCTCTCTCTCTCTGTCTTTCTCTCCCTTTCTGTTGCTCTTGGCTTTCAAGTAGATGAAAGTAAATATAGAAATTTAAAAAATTTGTAGAAAAATGGAATACAAGATAATGGAAATTATGTATGAACTTAAAAATTTTTTTTATTTATTTGAAAGGCTGAGTTGCAGAGAGAGGGAGAGAGAGAGAGAGAGAGAGAGAGAGAGAGAGAGAGAGAGAAAGCGAGCTTCAATCTGCCAGTTCACTCCCCAAATGGCTGCAAAGATCAGGGTTGGGCCAGGCTGAAGCCAGGATCCAAGAACTTCAACCATGTCTCTCATGTAGGCGGCAGGGGCCTAAGGACTTGGGCCATCTTCCACTGCTTCCCCAGGCACATTAGTAGAGAGCTGGATCAGAAGTGGAGCAGCTGTGGCAGGGGAGAGGACAGAGGGACTGTGGCACAGTGGGTTAAGCCACCACCTGCCGTGTAGTCATCCCATGAGGGTACTGGTTCGAGTTCTGGCTGCTCTACTTCTAGCAGGATCCAGCTCCCTGCTAATGTGCCTGGGAAAGCAGTAGAAGGTGGCCCAAGAGCTTGGGCCCCAGCCACCCACGTGGGAGACCCAGAAGAAGCTCCTGGCTCCCAGCCATGGATTGGCCCAGCTCCAGCCATTGCGGCCATTTGAAGAGTGAACCAGTGGATGGAAAATCTCTCTGTAAGTTTGTCTTCCAAATAAAAAAATCTTAAAAATAAAAATAAGAAATAAATCAAGTGGAGTAGTAGCCAGGACTTGAACTGGTGTTCCATGGGATTGCTGATGTCACAGGTGGAGACTTTACTCACTGTGCCACAACACCGGTTCCTGTCCATGAATTTTCTGAGGCTCTCTCATATAATGGGTAAATAGATGTAAAAATAGATTGCCAGGTTGAGAGCAGATGGGTGGACTGATAGACCAGGGGACATACAGATTGAGGGGGGCAGATAAGTTGACTGACAGATAAATGGACAAATAATTGGACAGTTGGCTAAGTTGATAGGTAAATGAATGAATGGCTGGCTTAGTGGGTGGATAGGTGGATAGACAGATAATAGATGGATGGGAAAATAGTGGAGCGGTTGGCACACCAGACAGATTTGTAAACCAGGCAGGCGAGATTGATATTCGGGCACTGGCAAGGGGTGGGCAGGCTGAGAACTGGGACCTGGGAACAGAGCCCCTTGGGATTTGGAGGGAGCAGTGGGAGTCTGGGAGCTGGAGGGGGACGGGGGCCTCCAGTGGTGGACCGGAGGACCATGGGAAACAGTGCTCTGCTGGGAGCCCCACGCCTGAGCCCAGCTCTGCTGAGGCAAAGTCACAGGGCCCGCGGGGAGAGCCCTCGGCCAGCCAGGCCAGCCCCAGAGAGCGGAGGCCCCACGCGGCTGCCAGCTCTGACCCAGAGGAGGTGACTGTTGGCCACCCAGGGGTCTCCCAAGACACAGGCATCCGTTGGGGGCAAGGGTTAGCAAGGCTCTGTGGGTCCCGGGCTGTGGGAGCAGCCAAGGCCTCCAGGGGCCCCGTCTCCCTCCCGTCTCAGCTTCCTCTGGGCAGGGGGCCTGGCCCCCATGGCCTCCCCGGCCAGCCCCTTGAGCACCACCTGCCCCAGCCGGCCAGAGACTTCCTGTAGCGCAAGAGATTTATGCAAACGGGCTGGGGCGGTGATGTCACCCCAAAGGGGACTATCTCCCAGCGGCAGGCCCTTCGATAAAATCAGGAACTTGCTGGCCCTGCAATGCCAAGGGAGGGGGCTCACCCAGGGCTCCTGTAGCTCAGGGGGCAGGCCTGAGCCCTGCGTCCGCCCCCCCCCCCCCCCACCGCCCCCACGGGGCTCCCCATTCCGAGGGTGTCCCCACCGGGCTCCCACCCAAAATAAGGATCTGAACGTTCTAAATTTTTCTGGAGGGTTCAAGGCGGTTAAAGGAAGGGTTCTCCCTCGACCCCCCCGTGAGTACTGGGGCTCCTCCACCGGCTCAACCCGGGGCCTGGCAGACGCCCGCCTGCCACCCGCTAACCCACCAGCCCACCCGCTGCCCTCCGGCTCGCTATCAGTGGGAAGTTATGTTTCCTCCTCGAGCCCCTGGCTTGGAGACCCGGCAAGGGGGCCATTGGCTTCCTCAGAGCGTGCCCCGGCGGGCTGAGGCAGGGCCCTTGGTGGGGCTGTGATCGGTGGGGCCTGAACAGTTATTTATAGATGGGCTCGGTGGCAGGCAGCAGCTCCCGGGCCGGGTACTGGTGAGGGCGGCGGCAGAGCGGCTGGGGAGACGGGCTGGGGACGAGAAGGGGCTCTCGGAGCGGGAGCGGCAACGGGCAGAGGTCTCAGCCCTTGGCCTGGGGGCTCCTGGAGCTGGAGGCTGTCGCAACTCTGGGTCCCAATGCCCATCCTGGGGCCTGGCACGGAGGACATGGCTGTTGACCAGCAGGTCCGGGCCTCGGGCCTTCAGGTCCCCGAGAAGCTGGGGCAGGGGCAGGGCCTGGGCCAAGGGCTCGGTGTGAAGAGCTGGGCTTGGAGCCGGGTCCAGGGTGGCTCGGGTTGGCACTGGGGCTGGGGTTTGGTGGCAGACAGGGTAGGGCTGGGGCTGCCACACGGCTGGGACTGAGATTGGGGCTGGGTGGGACCTGGGTTGAGCACTGGCCTGGAGTTGGGACGGAGTCTGACTCTGGGTCAAGATCAGGGAGTGGAGTCTGGGGTGAAGCGCAGCGTCCAGGGGACCCGAGGCAGGGCAGGGCAGGGCAGCAGCCTGGGCAGAGCTCATGGCTCCCGCTCCCAGGCGCAGCTGCAGCCTTAGGCAGGTGTCAGGCCAGGGTCCCTCCGGGAGGACCCTTCTTCCTTCCCCGCCCCGTGTCCTCTCCATGGTCGGGAGGTGTCGGGGGAGCCGGGAAGGGCTGATGGGGTCTGCCCACCTGACTCAGCTTTCCCGGCTTCCAGTAGCTCCCTCCTCAGCCCCACCCCAGCCTCAGAGCCCGGGAGGCACCCAGGCCTGACATCATTGCCTCCAAGCTTAGGAGGCAGGCTCAGCTCTGGGCTCCCGGCGACTCCCCGGCAGCAGCCAGCCCCTGAGCCTGCCTGGCACCGAGCGGCGGGGAGCAGACGGGGGTCACCGAGGCTGTCTCAGGAAGAGCGTGCAGAAAGCCACAGGCCCAGGGCCTTGGCTGTGATCGCTCTGACCTCTGAGCGCTCAGTCCCCGGGCCCCAGACAGAGCCAGGCACAAGGCAGGGTTTCCTGGGCTCCCACCTTCACCCCTCAGCCCCTCTCTCCTGTCCCAGGGGCCACTCTGAGAATCTCTAGGAGGGTGGGCTCCCAGGGCCTGGTCCCCCAAGCCAAGCCCTGAGGCCCAGGGTAGCTGTTGTGCAACCCCTGGGCACGCACTGCGGGGGTGGGGAGAAGCCTGGTGACTGTTGGGAAGGCACTGGGTGTGCAGGTCCCTACGTCTGAGCCAGTGTGCAAGGCTGGGGGAGGGGAGGGGGACCATCCCAGTGCAGGTGTGGGAGGGAGAGTGAGATCAAGGCCTCTGTCCCTTGGGCTCCAAGGCCAGCCTGGGTGACCTCTGCCCAAACTGAATGTCACTGAGGCCCTGGGGCCAGGCACAGGCTGAGGGGGAGGGCAGGATGGGCTGGGGAGGTTGTGCAGGACATGAGTGGGGGCTGTGAGGGCCAGGGGGCAAGTTTGATGTGATGGTGCCGTGCAAGGCAGGGAACGCGTGTGTGCCAGTGGCTGGGACAAAGCTGTGAGTGTGCATGGGCTCACAGGGCTACGTGTGATTGTGGTGTGTGTGGCGTGTGTGGGATTGTGGCTGTCTGTGGGTCGCAGAGAGTGGGTGTGCATCCGTGTGTGTTCGAGAGGACGGGCGGACGCAGGTGCGGGTAGGGACCAGGAGAGGGGAGGGCAGCCCCGGTCCTCTTTTGACCTCCCACACCCAAGGCCCCTGTCCCCGTCCTCCAAGGTCCCCTCTCCCCTGCTGGCCTAACCCCACTGCTCAGCCTGGAGGGGAGCGGTGTGGACACCGTGCACTGGGTGGGGGGCGAACATGTAGCAGGGCCCCCCCCAACAGGGCAAACCTGACACCCGCTTTTTTCCGCAGCCGTCGGAAGACCTGGTTCCCTACGACACGGATCTCTACCAACGCCAGACGCATGAGTACTACCCGTACCTCAGCAGTGATGGAGAGAGCCACAGCGGTGAGTGCACCTGCCTGCCCCCGCCCGCCCCCGCCCTCTGGGGGCTGCTTTGGAATTTGGAGAGTCAGACCCTGGAGCTGTGGGGCGGGGGGAGTGCTGGCTGCATCCCCGCCCCCCGGCCTCCAATAGTGAGCCTCTTTGATGTGCCCAGGCAGGGGTCAGTCTCAGCCAGGCCATCTCCTTCAAGCCTTGTGGCTTGTTCACACATCGGGAAACCAAGGTGCAGGGAGCCCAGCGATCTGTGTGTTCTCACAGCGGGCAGGCTGGACCCAGGTCTGTCCGCTCCATTGTCCAGAGCTTATCCTCTGCCCCTCGTCCAAGTGCCCGCCTCCCCTCTGTCCGTCACCCCCTTGCTCTGACGGGGCCTCCCAGCCCCCTGCTCTGTGTGGCTCCGGCTCTATGCTGCAGGGCGTCCCGTGCACTGTAGGAGTTTAGCAGCATCCTGGCGCCCGCCCACTGGATGCCAGCCTCAGTGCCAATCACAGCAATCCAACGTGTCTCCACATATCATTGCCAAATTCTCCCTGGTGACAAGGGAGCCCTCCTTGAGACCTGCTGGGCCGAGAGAAAGTGTCTGAGAGCCCCTGATCAGCAGAGGATGAGGCCTCTGGTTTGCAGGGGGTGGGAGTGGGCCACAGGCCTGGGCCAGAGGGGTCTTTCCCTCAGGAGCCAACCCAAGCTCCAGCCACCACACATTCAGGGCAGGGAGCAGGGAGAGGTCACTCAAAGTGGACCTAGGCATACGACCGTGGACACCCCGAGCCAAGGCGGGGTGCCACATGACCGTCCTCCTGGGAGGATCCTCTAGGGTGCCTGTGACAGGACAGGCTGACACTGGGTGTCTGCATCCCCAGAGGGCAGAGGCTCCTGGGAGACACAGTTGAGGACAGTCTCATGCCCGAGGCCACACCTGGCTCTGCAGGTGCACCTGTGCAGTCCCAAGCAGATGGCCACACCCCGGGGACACCATGAGTGGCAGGGAGTCCACATGGAGGGCTCCCCGGGTGGACGCCAAACCTTGAGCCCAGCTCCACCTGGCGCGCACACCTGGGCCCCCTGTAAGGGCAACACCTGGAGGTGTGACCTGGGAGAACAGCCAGTTCGGGGCCACCCTTGAGGTTTCTTTTGGAACCCCCGGGACGGAAACCCTTTACTTTTCATTTTTTAAGCGTACTTGTAATTCTATGAAAAAGACACCTTCTTTGTGGAAAAATCCAACTCTATCTGTGCGCCCCTAGCCAGGATTAGAAGCCCCAGTGACCGGGACCACACACCCACCCCTCCACCAGGCAGTCCCAGTAACCCACACGGCGAGCTGGGCTTGAGGATGGGCGCCCCCTGGTGGCTCCTTTGCAGCAAGCTCTGCGTGGCTGGGCTGCTTTCTCCATCAGTTTTTTCCTCGGCCCAGTCCCCCTTGCTGTTCACTGGGTGCACCTGCTTTGGGCCTTTCACATCCTCGGTTTGTCTTCCTGTAACAAAAGCTGCTGCCCATATACCTAGAAACCCACTAGCCCTGTAGCTGGGACTGATGGGGTAGGCGCTTCAGAGGAAGCCTGGATTTTCTAGGCTCAGGCCCAAGTAGGTTCCTTATGTCTGGGGTGGGGCTCCAGGAATACATCCTGATGGGCTGTTTGGGCACCTCATTTTTTCACAAAGGCCCAAAGACTCTGCCAGGGTCCCCAGCTGTCCCTGGTCCCGCCCCTGTCCCTTCATTGCCCATTTGCGGTATCTATGCTGCACCTGTTAGAAGGCGTTGTCCAAAAACTCGAGCACAGAGACACTCCCACCCCCTTTCACCAATGCCTAGCTACCCTCTGTGTCCGTATTTTAAAGCAGCGACACTTGGGGAAAAGGCTTTAGTGCCAACCCTGGGTCCAGCCCTGGCTCTACCACTCACCTGCGGTGTAACCTGGGAGAAAGTGACATAACCTCCCCAAGTCCCTGGCTCCTCATCTATGAAACGAGAGCATGGACAGACTGGCCTCCTGGTGCTGCAATGGTCCCATGAGGTCACGTGCAGAGAACAGGCCCAGAACTCTCCCTTTGGCTTGTTGGCTCTTCTGCAGCACCACAGCCGGACGGGACAAGCAGCTGGGGGAGTGGGAGAAAAACAGAGGGCTGTGTCACACATCAGCTGGGTCACTGTGCACTGACTCAGGCGACAGAACCAGCCGCCTCCTACATGTCCACTCATTCTAACCCCCGCCCATCATCTGTGCACCCATCCAGCCACCCGCTGTCCACCCACCCTCCCACACACACACTCACACACCCACCCATACTTCCAACTGCTTCCTTCCACCCACAAGTGCAGCGTCCCCTCACTGGTCCACCCACCAGAGTCTGCTTTTGTGCCAGGTGCAGACGTTGTTATAGGCACAGAGTCCATAGTGAGCAAATGAGACAAGCTCTCCTCTCCCAGCGAAGGGAGGGGCAGCAAGCGATCAAACCCTCGGCGAGGTGTGTAAAACACCTCCACACTCCAGCTGCGGAGGAGGGACCCGGGTGGGGGAGAGGCAGGGGAGCCGGCACAGCAAGCAGCAAGCAGGAGGGGCCCCAACAGAGCGCAGAGGGGGCGTGGAGGGCAGATGTGGCCGGACGGTCAGCAGCAGGCAGATCTCACAAGGCTTGGAGGCTTTGGCGAGTTTGGATTTTTGGGGAATTATTTTTATTTGAAAGGCAGAGTTACAGGGGGGAGGGAGGGAAGGAGAGCATCTTCCATCTACTTGTTCACTCCCTAGATGGCCACAACAAACAGGAGCCTGGAGTTCCATCCGTGCCTCCCATGTGGGTGGCAGGGGTCCAAGCGCATGGGCCATCTTCTGCTACTTTCCCAGTGCATTAGCAGGGAGATGGACTAGAAGTGGAACAGCCGGGACTTGAACCAGCACCTGTAAGAGGTGCCTGTGTCACAGGCAGTGGCTTTACTTGCTGTGCCACAGCGCCAGCCCCAGGAGTTTGGATTTTCTCCTCCAGAGAACAGGAGGCTGTTGGAGAATTTTGAGCAGGGAAGTGACATGATCTAAATAACGTCATGTGTGTGTGTGCGTGTGTGTGTGCATGCGTGCGTGTGTGGTGAAAGAAACAAATTTTAAATCGTTTAACTTTTAGAATATCCATTGCAGAAGCTTGAAACACACAACAGCATATGGCATAGGACATTCCCCTGTTCTGATCTCACGCGCCCCCTTGGCACCTTGGCGTGCCTATCCTCACTGACATTGTATTCTACGTATATAAATCTATACGTTTGTAAACACACGTGCACACGTGCATATCTTCTTCATCCCAAAAATGGAGTTGCAGTATCACGCCCGGTTCTGAAATTTGCTATCTTTTGGTTAGACTTGTCGTTGGCATTTCCACCTGCCCCTGGCCTCTGGGGTGCCTTGTGGGCAAGATGCGAAATCTCCATACCCCCGTCTTTTTGTCCTGGCGCCTGCTTCCCAGGACTGCTGCCCTGATTCAGGGGGCTGCTGCGTGAATGGGCTCAGAACAGGCACTGGCAAACTGAGGTTAGATGTGGACTAGCAGGGAAAGGTGTGTGGGAGGTGAGCTCTGCAGGTTTGCTTGGCTGCACCCCCATTTATCCTATTTTCTCATGTGCCTACTAGTAGTTCAACTGCGTATAGAAATCTAGGTTGAGGGCTGGCACCGCGGCTCACTAGGCTAATCCTCCGCCTTGCGGCGCCGGCACACCGGGTTCTAGTCCCGGTCGGGGCGCCGGATTCTGTCCCGGTTGCCCCTCTTCCAAGCCAGCTCTCTGCTGTGGCCAGGGAGTGCAGTGGAGGATGGCCCAAGTACTTGGTTCCTGCACCCCATGGGAGACCAGGATAAGTACCTGGCTCCTGCCATCGGATCAGCACGGTGCGCCGGCCGCAGTGCGCTGGCCATGGCGGCCATTGGAGGGTGAACCAACGGCAAAGGAAGACCTTTCTCTCTGTCTCTCTCTCTCACTGTCCACTCTGCCTGTCAAAACACACACACACACACACACACACACACACACACAAAAGAAATCTAGGTTGAAAGTCACTTTTCCCCTTTAAAATTTGGAAGCGTTTCTCTACCGTCTCGGTTGCTGGAGTTTTTCTTGTGAAGTCTGATGTCATCCCCTGTTCTGTTTTCTGTAATTGACTTGGTTTTTGTTTCCATTCACTTATTTGTTCTCTGTTTGATCTTTCTGGAAGATTTTGGGTTTTTGAATTTTTATTTATTTGAGAGACAGAGAGTTGGGCTCCCTCCATTTCAGTGATGGCTGGGGCTGGGCTAAGGGCAGATTCAATCCGGGTCTCCCATGTGGGCTGCAGGGGCCCAACCATTTGTCATCACTGCTGTCTCCCAGGTCTGCTGTGGAGGAAGCTGGAATCGAGCTAGCGGCTCCTAGCCAGCCCAGGTACTCACTCTGATACAGCGCTTGGTTGACCTAACCTGGATCTTTGCTGCCCTAACACCAGGCCCATTTTTTGAAGTTTTTGGTGTCTCCACTCCATACCTAGTGGTTCTAGGGAGTATGTTTTTCAAAAAAGCCCACTCTGGGGGCCGGCACTGTGGCATAGCTGGTAAAGCCGCAACCTGTGATGCCGGCATCCCATGTCGGTGCTGGTTCGAGTCCCGGCTGCTCCACTTCTGAGTCAGCTCTCTGCTATGCCCTGGGAAAGCAGCAGAGGAAGGCCCAAGTGCTTGGACCCCTGCACCCACATGGGAGACCCAGATGAAGTTCCTGGCTCCTGGCTTGGGCCTGGTCCAGCCCTAGCAGTTGCAGCCATCTGCAGCTAGGAGTTGCATCTGCCGCTGCAGTTGCAGCTAGGAGATCTCTCTCACTCTCTGTCTCTCTCTCTGTAACTCTGCCTTTCAAATAAACAATTTTTTTTTGTGTGTGTGTGTGACAGGCAGAGTGGACAGTGAGAGAGAGAGACAGAGAGAAAGGTCTTCCTTTGCCGTTGGTTCTCCCTCCAATGGCCGCCGCGGCCGGCGCACCGCGCTGATCCAATGGCAGG